ATTGACTTGGCAAAAATGCATAGAAGGGAAAACATACCTTAATAGCAGCCCAATACTGCCTGTCCAAAAATGCTGCACATCCTGTTGCTGGATTTTTTATGGACCTGAGATCACGTACCGTGATAAATTTGTAACTTATGAAAACCAAAGCACGATAGTAACCCACTGTTTTGAATAAATCGGTACAAATAGATCGTCGTCAATGGCAGACGTGATTTTTGCCTTTACTGCACTTGCCAGAATAGCAAACGACTTGCTCTCATCGACATTCATCTTCGGGTAATCAGATAATCCACTCAGAACTGCACCAAGTCGTTTAGACTGCTTCAGAGACATCGGTTCCCATTCAACGTTAACTACATCTAAATAACAGCAAATGTGAAAATTTGATCGGCAAAGCTTTCGAGAATGAAGAGCTTCTAAAATCTAATCTTCTAATGGGATCACAATATGAATAAAGATCAAGAGGAAAAGATTTTTGGTGCGCACCTGTTAGAAAAGGAAGAACAACCTTTTCAATTATTGACGGAATTATTCCAGTAAGAACCTCGTGCTTCGGATCAACATCGCCGTTCTCCTGTATGGCTCTGATGCAATCTGTGTACCACGGCATTGCAGACAAAATAAAATCGTCACGCTAAACAAATACGGTTTCACTCAACATTTGGTGACTGACCCGACCGGTAACCGTTTCCAAACTCGATAACGTACATTCAAAATGTCAGCAGTGATGAGCTGAATTCTCACGTAAGGAGATGCTAACTTCGGAATGCATAATACAATGTATGCGTCTTGGAATGTAGTTGCATCCACTGCAAACCAGTCAATCATCCTGAAATCAAATTAAGGATGAAAAACAATGCGGCTTGCACTGGGAGAGAAGCACAAACAAACCTGTCCAGCACTTTTCGGAGATGTGAATAGTCGTCCAATGCATCAACGAACACCATATTGAGAGCGGTGTCAATTTCAGCTGAAATTTCCCAATTTTTGAAATAATTCAAGCTCTTGATAGTTTAACTACAAAAAGAAACATCTTCTGCAGAATTGGTTACATTCCCCACGCTCTATCTTCACTTCATTATATAAACTAGAAGTTTGGTGTGTCGGTTTGTATGTATGTCTGTATGTATGTATGTATGTATGTGTGTCCGTCCGCAAAATGAAGTGAGTGATAAGGAAGCTCATGGGAATAAACAAACCGCTAACAAATCTGGGTAGCTCGCAGGATTTGCTATCAATGTTTTGCAATGGCATGATTGTGATAACACTCCAACGGCTATATAAACACCTACTTAGCACACTTTCGGTCATTCCACAAGGTGCTGCAGTGGCAGCTGGAGAGCAGTGGAGGGAGGAGGGGAGGATAAGGAGAGGAGGAGGAAATCAAAGCTTACGCAAGGAAGGGAGGTTTCGACGTTGCCGGGGGACCAATCTGGTAAACAAAATACAGCTACCTTTCTAATCAGCAAAAAATAAGTTTGGTGGTGAGAAGGTTCCTCTTCCCACAGAAAAACTACTGCACTGCTAACACATAACCTCAGTTCTTCGGCTTTCACGCCTGTTTTCGGAGTAGGGTCACGCATTAATACCTGCTGCTTGTTGATCCGCAAGCTGTTGGCTGGTCGGCTCATCGTCGTCGCTGCTAAGGCCCTCTTCATGGGAAACGCCTGCAAGCGTCCCTTCTCGTTCGCGGCGTCTCCTGGCTCTGAAAGTCGTTTTATAAAAATACTCCTCGCTAGAACGAAAACTACGAGTGACAGCCAATTCGAAAATATTGGAAATTTGGACGGGAAGACATTCAAATTGAAAATTATTCAAGATTCAACCACATTCCGATGAGGAACCAAAAAGCACCTCTGACGAAACCAAGCACCTCTAAATCAGAGCAGAGCTATAGAGGAATCTCGGCGGCCATTACAACAACCTACACTATTAAAGTCCTGGCGAAAGGTTTTGTCAACATTGAACACCTTCATGTCCTCATCTCCCCTGTCGGTCAGCTTTAATAGCGGTCACGTGTTCATTATTTACGCTTTCGCCACCACGTCATCTGCTTGGTCTTTAGCGGGGGATATCATGTGGCTGCACACGCTTATGCAATTAAATGATGGGGTATGGGAAAGATGTGAGGCGAGAAGGATATCAACTATGCGAAGTTTAGGAAATAAAATCAGAGAGAACAAGTAAACAACCTTCTCGCGTCCCTTTCAGCAACACGAAGCATTACTTCTGGAGTTCTGGTCAGCGAAGGATTCTTTCCTGAGGCGGCAGTTACGCAGTCATTGTAAGCATCTCTCATGTCCCGCCTTCTACGTCGTGCTAATCGCTCAGATCGAGATTTAGCCAAAGCTTGACGCTTATCGCTCAACTCATTAATTTCAGCGACCTGAATACGAAGAATTTCACATGAGGACACATAGAGGGATAGCGCTATAAACCTTTTCATTGAGACAATTCAGAAGGCTGCGGCAGTAATCCGTAATTCCTGATACATGGTATATTTGTTTGCTAGTAAGGCAGATGTCCCTGTCGTCTTCTACTGAAAGTATAGAGGATAAATGGAGGCCATTGCGAAAATTTGATTCAAGTAAACTCCAACGCAAATCTTAAAGCCAAATCTAGCCTTGTTTATAGTCGCTTTGTTTTCCTGCAGAGTGTTTTCAATTCTCTCAACTTCGTTGCCTCGCGTGTCAGTTCTTCTTGTCGGTTATGCTTAACAAACTTATATAAGACTCTTTGACAAAACAAACAATTGAGAGCACAGCAATTCGGCGTAAAAGACGCCAAAGGCGATAAAACCTGGGTCTCTCCGTGCATCCAGTAAAGGATCATGTGAGAGCTGCGCAAGGCGTTATGACAAAAAGAATCCATTTTGGCAAGGGGAAGGACAAACGTTCTGGGGTTAGGTATGGAAGTGAGCAGAAATGAACTCTACACACTCATGGATTATTATCCCTAACAAGGGAGGTCGTTTCAGGGTGTGGAGCGCTTTTTCAAAACGGTTTTTTGCATGCTGTAGGGGCTCTCACGGGGACGACAATACTATGTTTCATTTTCGCTGAGCGGCCTTCTGAAGGCCAAAAATTGGTAGGGAAGTGGTCCAAGGTTCAATCCCTCTTGATGACAGAATTTTTGCACTTTAGTTGGAGCTTCGAAATTTCCTTAAAATAGCGCCAGCACCAGTACTAGGTATCGTACTCATCATTAAGACCATGAGCAAGAAATGCAGTCAAACTTTTTCCAGAATCTGTGGAAAAAAGTTGTAGCGCCAGAAAGGCGCCAAACGGCGCCAAACTAGCGTAAATTGAAGCTATCGGATAAAATTAATGTCATATTCGTGATCAGGGCACTCGATATTCCCTAAATCAGAAGTTCTTGAGAAAATTGAGAATTTGACCTGGATCCGAAAAATTGGCCAGTGATAGGTCAGTAGCCCATAGTTGCCTCCAGCCGGTGCACTGGAAACGAGTTCCCAGTTATCCTTCTCAAATAAAGTACTGCTAAATGGACAATGGGAGACACCCCAGGCTGGTAATGGGCAACAGGGCACCATGATTTTGAAGTCGGCAGATTCTCCCCTTCATCAAGACGTGGTAATTGGGTCCACGGCTCCTCCACTCGCAAGGCTGCGTGTCCATAGATGGAGCGATTTCAAGGACTGCGACATGATGGAAGATGTTCCCTATGAAACCGAACTTTAGTTCCCGTGAGCCGACAAGGCATTGCGCTTGATTTCGGCGCCGCACTCGTATTCAAGTCGCTCGGCTACAGGTCGTCATACCTGTAGCCCATGGCCACCCTCTTTTTCGAAGTTAGGTCAAAACCTAGATTTTTCCTGAAATTTGGCATGTGGGGGTAGATCAGGGTCCTGTACACGATTATGGCGTTCGTTTTTGACGTCGGCGCCATTTGGCGCCAGTTTGGCGCTGCGAACTTTTTCTTCCAATTTTTGGTAGAAAACCCATTTGCAAGGGCTACTGACGGTCCTGAATGAGAATATAGCGTTAATTTTGACGCTGAAGCAATTTGGCGCCAATTTGGAGGTGATTATCAAAAATGCAAAAGTTAGCCCAGGAGCGGACTCGATCCACAAAGTCGTGCCAACCCCAGTCCACCACGCTATCCACTCGGCCACCTGCTCGCTGCGATGTGTAGGGTGCCGACGACGCCTATGAAACCTCTACACTTTCTTCAGCAGTACCACGTACAGTGCTTCAATTTTGAGCGAATTTCGAGTTGTTTTCGATATTATCTTCATCGGCGCCCTTCAAAATGCAGGTGGTCGTTTGTACAGGTCCGAAACTTCACTCCAAGGCAGCAAAAACCACCCCTTCTTAACGAATTTTTTTCGACCATTTTTTGGCCTTCAGGGGGCCGCTCAGCGAAAACGAAACGCAGTATTGTGGTCTACGTGAGAGTCCCTACAGCATGCAAAAAACCGTTTTGAAAAAGCTTCCCACACCCTGAACGACCTCCCTTGTAAGAGCACTCGAATTGCACTAAGCTGCAGCAACTGTTGCATTTCATGCCCCCATATTGGATGAGACCTTGAAACCTTTGTGGCAAAAACAAAGGAAGCAAAACAAACCGCAACTTCAATTTCGCCAAAATATCCTCGACTGATACGTGACCACCGGTATTTGTGGGCCCTTAACCACTTATTATGTTGAACTTGAAAAATTCATTCACATGAAGTCATCAAAAACATACCTATATTTTTACCTTTGAAATTCTCCACTAAGTCATCCATGTCTATTTCCATGTCAGTCGCTTCCGGTATCTGAGGATAAGAGCTAAAGGTTTGTTATAGATGATGCATTCGAAAACATACCATGAGCTCTTGCTGTCTCTGACGGAAAAGGCGGGCTGAGTTATCGTAATCTGCGCGTATTTGCCCAATCTCAAAAGGAAAATTGATAAAGACTATTTCAATTTACGTAAAAAATGAAGCGTTATGATAGCTACCGTATGACGGCTGACAGCTTTGAGAATTTGCTGCTTCTCCCATTCATCAGCCTCTTCATCGGCGTCTCTTTCGTCTCCTTGTTCTTGCTCAAGAAAGTGCCCCTGCTCTTCTCTACGTCGCTGCTCTTCATCGCGAAGCACATCTTTCTTCGAATAGAACCTAATAATAATGGAGAAGTGAGGTCGAGCGAAGAGTTTCATAGTAACACAGAAACAGCCTTGGCTTACTTAGGTGTCTCCTCATCAGAATCATCGTTTTCATCCTCACGAATTAATCTTGCCCGCACACCTTTTTCGACCAGCTTTTGATCGTCGTCCAAGGGGATCATACTGGAAAAGGGTCGTCAACTTCCGACTGAAGACAAGTAAAATGAACCCAAAGTGACTAACCCATCTCGTCCTTCTCTTTTCTTTGCCTCATAAACAGCTCGAGAATCAGGTATTTCAGCTAAAAATGCACTGATACGTTACTCAAATACCTTTCCTTTACGCAATATCAGTTATTCAATACAGTCCATCTATCAGCGATTGGAAATAGGCTCTATCTACAGCCTAGCTCGAAGCCTGATTAGACGTATTTTGACTCGGCGATTTGACGTGACCGTCGCCGCACATGATGGAAGAGCTATATCACCACACTGCGCTGGATATCAGCGAAGCATGCTGGAGGAAACTTATCCGTGAACTTTTGGCTCCCCCACTTTCTTCACGATTTGGGGCGCGGCCGCGGCGAGCGCGGCCGAGTCGATAGTGCCCGCGAACTGTGTGGGTAAATTTGAAAACGCATCACCACCACAGTTCGCGGGCACTATCGACTCGTCCGCGCTCGCCGCGGCCGCGCCCCAAATCGTGAAGAAAGTGGGGGAGCCGTGACTTATACTCAAAGCACTGGCCGCCAGATCAAATCTATAAGCACGCCTGAGCAGACTTCAAGATGTGAACTATAACTTTGATCGAAAGAGCATTAAGATTCTATGCACATCATGTTTCGAATGGGGAATCCTGTGTGTGGCTCGCAGGGATAGAAGAAGACTTCTCGCGCCTGAACCCTTTTGAGGAGACCCCAGGTCCACTAATGACCAGGGTTAGACTTGGGGCTCTCACGATGAAAATGGGTTCGCTACGCGAAGAGTGAGGAAGTTACTTTCTAACCTAGCGAACCACAGTCGAAGTCTAGCGTGCGTGATTGTAAAGCACGCGCTCCCGTAGTCGCAAGCAAATATAACAACATATTCCAAACAATGAATGTAAACTCACAAGGAGTTCCAGAGAACTTGGAATTAGCGTCAGCCTCTACTTCATCATCACTATCGGGAAGCGGTTTCACCTAAAATGCGTACTTTCCAACCGCTTCAAAAACAAAAACACAGACTGTTAACCTTAATGGAACAATCCCGATACTTATCGAGATAACGGCTCTTGGCATCTCTTTTTTCCTTATCACGATCCCTGTCCTTTTCTCGGTTTTTCTTTTTCTTTTCCTTTTCTCGCTCCAATTCCTTTTTTCGTTCTTCCTCTTCTCGAATTCGGTCCTTTTCGGCTTCCTCTTCAAGTTTCTGAATCCTCTTCAGCTCCTTCACTTTCTTCTTGTTCTTCTTTATTACAAAGTCGACATCTGCTCCTGAAATACAGAGAAATAAAAAGTGACATTGTTGGACCACTATTATTCGCTGCTCAGCTACGATCCTGACAGGATCATATTGAAGCTGCATCAGCACCTTCATCGTTGTCAAAACTAAGAAGAGCTGGTGGTTTGGGTACCGGCGTTTCTACATCTTCGACAGCAGGTTTTCCGACAACTGGGTCCTTCTTTGGAGCAGTGGCTTCTCCATCGTTCCCCTGATCTTGATTATCATCCCAACCATCCGTTCGCTTTCGAGTCGTTCCCTTCACCTTGGGTTTGCGAAACATCTGCAGAGAAACGATGTAGATTAACTAATCTGGGAGAGGATCATACAAGTGGCGAAAACTTTCAAGGAAATAATTCAAGCGTAGAACTTTCTGAGATTTAGAGTTGATAGAAAATATTCTAGATGGAAATCTATAGAATATGGTTAAATATATCCACACAAACACAAGAAAAGGAGACAGTAGATGAATTCGTAGCCAAAGGTAAACCAGACACAAGGCGCCGTTGCTCTGGAATTGAGGTTAAGCCCATACAAAAATGGATCCCTAAACAAGAGTGACATTGAGAAGCGAGTGAATACTGAAAAAAAAACTGTCACATTCGCATATCGCTGACACAAGGAATTATTTCCCAACAATTTCGAAATATTGTAAGCAAAACCATCACGAAGGTAAGATCCTTTCCATCCAACCACTGATCCCGGAGTTCGGTAAAAGAACCCAAGGTACCACTACGACTGTCTTATTGAAACTGAGTGAGACAAGCAAGATTAATGCAACTTCGAAGATTTTTTTTTCACAAAATTTTGCGGATACAACCGACGTCGCTTCAAGCAACGA